AAGGAAAATTGCTGAGGCAACAAACAACGCGGCGTAATGCGTAAAGGAGAGTGTCAGTTTCAAATTAAAAACAAACAAACAAACGAACAAACGATTTTATTAATAATTAATTCGATTCGTTAATAAGGGTTTAGTCGATTAAAAAACAACAACAAAATTAGAAAAAAAAATTACACGTGTGTTACGCAAGGTGCACACGTGCGTACACACACACACGAGACCAATTCTAGGTAGGTTTGTCTCGTTTAAAAACTGGACAATATTTTGGAAATTTGTCCTTTAATTTTTAGTATTATCGCTCCGTGATTTTTGCGTGCGTGTGCGTGTATTTGTTTTATTGTTTTTTTGCCCCCCCCCGTCCCTCCCTCCTACCTTCCCAACAAAATAAATAATCGAACGGTTAAAAAAAAAAAGGACAACCCGAACAATAATTAACCGAACCGGAAATTCAAAAAAAAAAAAAAAGAAAAAAAATTTACGTTTTCCTTTTTCATACCATTTCCTACGCGTTTGTCTGCTAAGAAACGATAGTGATAATAATAATAATAATAATAATAATAATAATAATTCATAAAAATTTCTGTTGAGGTCTTGGTAATCCGTTACTTCCCTTTCGATGTGTGTTTGACGCGGAAGGTTGGGTAGGGCCTGCCAACGTCCAAAGGATGTGATGGTCCCAAAAAAATCTCGAATCGAACGAACGACTCAATGCCTGTCATTAAAAAATTGTCATCGATCGATATCGATATTCGCGAATCGAGAAACCGGAAGAAAGTCGAAGTGTGACGTAAGATAAAACAGACAACTTCCGGTTTTTCCTTTTTGCTCCTCATCAGACGCGAACAAAAACAAATAATTCGCATATTGATGATAATATTAGAGTTAAAAAAAAATCAAAATTAAAACCAAACGTATGAATTGATTAATAATAATAATAATAATGATAATAATAATAAGAACCTCTTTCGTATGTACAGAAGACTTGAGAATATCGTCGAGGTTTTTTTTTTTTTTTTTTTTTTTTTTATTAAAATTTTTTTTTGTTTTTTAATTTTTTTTTTTTTTTTTGGTTTTTTTGTTTGTTTTTGTTTTTGTTTTC